ATTTTCAACTGGCCCTTTCTGAGTCTCAGATTTATTCCTCATCATGTGAGGAGGTCACACAGAAGATAACTGAAAGAATATTCATACACTAACAGAAAGGAAACATCTTTAAAAGGTCTGATTCCTTTAAGAGACTTTTTGGTTTCTAATTTAAGCTTACTTCCTGCCTCAATTTACATAGTGGAATCAAGGGAGAATGGATTCTTTAACACAAGTATGGATTAGTGGTAATGGGAAACTCAAATTTTGCACCCTCCAAGGTCTCTGACTTCAGAAATCCAGAAGATATCTTTGAATTACACTTGTCTCCAGCCTCCGTGAATCATAGGACGTGTCAGGCAGTTTCTAAATTTGTTAGACCTACATATCAAAGTATAAAACAAGTACTGAGAGTGAGTTTTCGTGTGCAACTTCAAAGTTCTCTCAGCTTTTCTGGGTGTGGACAAAGAGCATGAATCAGAGGACCTCAGCTAGTACACTGCACTTCCAGATAGGCCAGTTTGGACTGGAGCACATATGGAAACAGCTAGACTACGTTTTCTTCTGGGAAACTCCCCAATGTTATATGTTTCTAAAATTAGAAATCCTGGACAGAATTGTTTCTGTCTCAATAACATTAGTGTAAGGGACATGTGAAACTTTTGGAATTTTCACATTGTATTTTTTAATTTTATTTTCATTTTTTTGTCCCTTATTTGTATGATGTATCTATATCATTTATTTTTTTATGCTGCATTTAATTTTATGAAATAATTTTATTTCTCCCTGTATTTGGTCCCTGGATTTCTTTTTTATTTTCATTTTCAATCTTTTCTTTTCTCATTTTCTTGCATTTTCCCCCTTATCTCTTCTTCCATCTGTTTATTCACACCACTTTCATTTTCATTCCTTATTAAATCATGTCCTGAAATTTTTTTGGCTATTTATTTATTTATTTTAAATTTTAAAATTTGTTTTAATTAATTATACATGACATTAGTATGTGTTTATTCACTTTGATTTACCATAGATAGATGGGATATAATTTCTCATTTTTCTGAGTGTACATGTTGCAGAATCATATCAGTCATGCAGTCACATGTATACATATAGTAAAAATGTCTGTTACATTCTACTATCATTCCTATCCCTATATCCTCTCCCATCCCCTCCCTTCACTTCCCTCTACCTATTTTGAGGTAATGCTATTCTTTCCTAGTACCCCCACCTTATTGTGAATTAGCATTCACATATTAGAGAAAACATTCAGCCTTTGGTTTTGTTGGATTGGCTTATGGCACTTAGCATGATATTCTCCAACTCCAACCATTTTCTGGCAAATGCCATAATTTTTCTCTTCTTTAAAGCTGAGTAATATTCCATGGACTATTTATACCACATTTTCTTTATCCATTCATCTATTGAGGGACACAT